TAAATCTGGCATTAATGAACCTTTCTGTAGCTTTTGGTGTTTTTAAAACCTCTAAAAACAGATTTTTTACTTTCATTTTTTTCAAGAAGATTGAGAAAATCAATGTCATATTCATAAACGAGCTTTTTGAATTTACAGGGGGCTCAAAAACCTAGGCCTTTGGCCCCCTAATAGGCAAGTTTTCCCCAAACGTTAACCCTCTATCAAAATTTAAATAAAACACGATGAAATAAATCTGTGGAAAGGTTTTTGATAGTAAATATTAACTACATCAAAAGGGTTTTGGGGGGGTGAGCTGAATCCAGCTCAGTTCCAACCCTTGTGGCTGAAGTAGCTGTTGCAGTAAATTCTGCCTGATAGTTACCAGGCCAGTGGATAATGTTGACGTTGTCGCCTGAGTCCGCCTGTACAAGTGTAAAAGTGGTATCACATCTCAAACTTCAAAGTTTTTGGTCAGTCCTGGACTAATCCCCAATGGTAATAATGGTATAATTACCAATGAAATGTTATGTAAATGGACACATACGTAACTATTATGACATTGTGGCAACGTTTCGCTCTCCAGGACCTTTAAAACAAAGCTCCTGGGGGCGAAAGTTACCACAATAAAATGTCACAATAGTTTTAATCTTTTCCATGGAGCTAATGTTTGTTAACTTTCCATTCGTTTTAGTTATCCCAGTAAGATTATTGTGACCTAAATTCTCTTACGAGAACAATTTTAAAACAATACAGAAATTCTCATTTGAAATAATCAAAAAATTAAGATTTTATTTGCTTTAATATTTTTTTTTTTTTTAATTTAATTTATTTTAAAAATTTTCAATATTTTAGTTTCGTAAAAATCAATGCTTTTCTTATAACAATCCTAAAGTTAATTCGATGATGACTTCGAAATACACTTTTTTTAGGAAGCTGTGGTATTTCAAAACGCTGAATTTGAGTTAAAAAACACTACCTGGAGAAGGAAGGAGGAGCGAGTGCCCCCAGCAGGCGGTCCGGGCTCCAGTCATTTTGCAGCGGGGCCAAAGAAATATGGTAAGAAGGAGTGTTCCCGACCCCCTTTTATACCCAGCTGATGTCACTAAAATCCCCTCTTTCATCGTTACGGCGTCATTGAGAGATAATGCAGAGAAAAAAAAGTTTTGGGCCCCCATATTGTGTCCCTTTCCCCCGCAATAAAATAGTTTATCACTTTATGCATAAAACTCTTCCCGTATAAAACTACGATATAAATTTATGTCCTTTTTTTTGGGGACGACCCCACTTCCCATTTAACAAATGTGACCGACCTATGACTGCTGCACCTCTCCCCGCCATACGGTTTATAGCTGCTTCTCCCCGATTGCCGTATTTATTTAAGATTGTGGACTGAACACATCGATCAAAGGGGAGGGACTGATTACCCCATTTCCCCCCTTTCTTCAAGTTTCTCCACGTATGGACTGATGAAGCATGTGTGGCGAAACGTTTCCTCAATAAAGATAACCAAGAGTTACACATGTTGTGCAAGAAAGGTATAAAATACCGACAATAATGAAAAGTTAAGAAGACACATGTCTACATCTGGATATCTTTAATTGTAGTAGACGATTTTCGCCCATCCAGTGCTTTACAATACAGATCTAGTACATAATAGGAAGACAGTAGAACTATATACACAGATGAGGTAATCATCATCCCCTCTCGGCCTTGGAGTTAGTGTTCACAGCATCGTGGTGGAGGAGAATCTGGAGCAAAGACAAGAAGACTGGCGGTTTATATAGGCGTCAGTGGATAGGGACGGGCAGCAGACGAGGGCAAAGTCACTGATGGGCGGGATTCCCCAGTGGAATAGGTCCTTCCCAAAGAGATGGGTTAGTTGCAGCAGCCGTGAAGGTCTTGTAGATGTCCTCTGAACCAAGATTCCATGATATTCATATTGTCGGTATTTTATACCTTTCTTGCACAACTTGTCAGACACTGCAACATCATGGGAATCTGGTTCAGAGGACATCTACAAGACCTTCACGGCTGCTGCAACTACCCCTCTCTTTGGGGGAAGGACCTACTTCCACTGGAAATCCCGCCCACCAGTCACTTTGCCCTCGTCCTGCTGCCCGTCCCTATCCACTGACGCCTATATAAACCGCCATTCTTCTGTCTTTGCTCCAGATTCTCCTCACCACGATGCTGTGAACCTAACTCCAGGTGGGGGCGCCGAGGGACTGATTACCTCATTTTTGTAATATAGTTCTACTGTCCTTCTATTAGTCTAGAACTGTATTGATAAAGCCACTGATGGCGAAACGTCTACTACAATAAAGATATCCAGATGGTTAGCACATGTGTCTTAACTTTCATTACACATGTTCTAATTTTATCAACAGTCGTTCTCTGCACCATTCATCTACCAAATCTGTCAGACACTGCAACTTCTTGTGATCTTAATACTTAGAAATTCTTCGGGGGGGGGGGGGGGGGGGGGGGCTTGCCTAATTCTTGGCACGACCACTTCCACATTGAACAAATGTGACACGACCTATGACTGCTGCACCTCTCCTGCCATACGGTTTATAAGCTGCTTCTCCGCTGATATGCCGTATTCTATTCAAGATTGATGGACTGAACACATCGACTCAAGGTTGAGGGACTGATTACCTCATTCTCCTCCTGTTCTTCAAGTTTCTCCTACGTATGGACTGATGAAGCCACTGTGTGGCGAAACGTTTCCTCAATAAAGATACCCAAGAGTTACACATGTGTCTAATTTATCAATGTATGTCCTCACCACCTAGTTCGTTGGGTTCACAGCTTATCGTCTACGTGATGGGTTATTACGTTAGTTTGTTGGGTTTACAGCCTATCGTCTACGTGATGGGTTATTACGTTAGTTTGTTGGGTTTACAGCCTATCGTCTACGTGAGGTTTAATTAATACTCGATCATTGAGACACAAATACCAATGACAATTTAATATATAAGGTGCCAACGATAATGGTAGAACTACCGACATTATGTTGAGTAAAAGGACACATATACAACTAATGTGACATTTTATTGTGGCAACGTTTCGCTCTCAAGGAGCAAAACACTTGACAAAACTCGACTTGTAGCTAAGAAATTAAAGTCACTTGAGAATAATATTGTGAAAATAATAATTTAGACTGTACATCTTCCAAATATCCCAGAGATGAACAATAACCCAGACTGAATGTTGTGTCGTCTGGCACTCTCTAAACAGCAAGAAAACAGAAAGTAATTTGTAATTAATTAATGATCATACCTTAGTCAAAATTTTACTTAAATCCAGTATTTTGAAGGGAAAGAATTTAATTTTCAGTGATGATATAATTTTTAAGAATTGTCAAAAATATTTTTCTCTCATACTCAAGTAGTCTTATGGAAACTAAAGATGAATTTATTTCCCAAAATATTTAATAATGAATGTATTAGGTGTGACGTTCAGTCACGTTCAGTAATCCCTGACGTTCAGTCAGGGATTACTAAGATAATGCATTTATTATTATTATTATAATCAAGGGGGAAGCGCTAACCCCCTAGGATTATATAGTGCCTGGGGGGATGTGGAAGACATTCAGGCTTAATTCGGGGAACTGAAGCACAGATCCAATTCCCTAAATCAAGAGCCCCTCACCAACATCAAGGAACCTTCCCTGAGGGGAATTAAAATAATGCAGAATATTTAATTTCCTGCATTCTGTCCCGGAGCAAAAATAAAATCTTACTTGATATAAACAAGATCCTGGCTAGGGAACAGAATTGTCGAACTGTGAATATGAATAAAACTTGTGCAACGTTTCGCCCAAAAAGTGGGCTTTTTTCAAGCCACATATATGTACTGAAGATAGTGGAAAATCAGATAATCAGTGGATCAGCCTTGAAAGCTCTTCAGTCTCTTAGCTTTATCAAGATTGAACTGAATCCTTATCAAGGTTGAGGGACTGATTACCTCACCTTCCGCTGTTTACAGCATTTAACCTCTGCACTGAAGTTAAAAAGCCACTGGTTGACGAAACATCTTCATAAAGATACTACAGGTGTTGCACATGTTTTAATCATTCACTTCTTGGTATTATACACCATCAATCTAATTTTATGAAAATAGAAGCAGGCATATAATATATTTAAGAGCGTCTGTGGGAAGAGGCAGTAAAGTGATAGTTGGTGCTGCTGATGGAGAAGTGTCACAGATTTGCTGTCTGTAAAATCTTCCTATTGTGATCTTCGTGGCTAGGTGGTACACACTTGGGATGCTGCGTGTCACGACCTCGGTTCGAGTCCCCGTCCATTCTTCCCTTTATTCACTGACAGTCGTTCATTACGTGAGAGACAATTTAAGTTAGGAGATTCGAGATCGAACTGGTGACCGCACAAGTGATACACAATCACAGAATAAGTGCTTCATACTGTGTAAGTCCTTGATATACTGGATAAGTGTTTGATACACTGCATAATAATTTGATACACTATAATTCTCTGATACACTTCATAAGTACTTCATACGTTGTATAAGTGCTTGACACATGGTATAATTTTTTTTCATTCTTGACCATGGACTCAGGACTGTGAATGCCTTCACCTGTTGTTCAAACCTGGGAATATCTCAGTGACTTTGTAAACATCTCCAGTGTATATATTCAGATGCAGAACAAACCACTTGGGGATTGAAATCTTTAGTTCAGGATGTTTTGCATTCTCATGCGTCGTCAGGAGCTATGCAATGTTGCATAGCTCCTGACTATGCACGAGTGCAAACTATCTTGAGCTAAAGATTTCCATCCCAACGTGTCTTGTAATTAATTGTTTAGATCGCCTGTTTACGATTGTACTATATTTTCAGACAATGTTTTGTGAGTTAGTCTTCCAGTTTTATGAGGAGGATAAACATGTGAGAAAGGATAATGGAAAATAAATATATTTTATGCTGCAATTATTATTTTTCGACAATTAAGACATTCTAATATATATCAAAATGAAAATCGTAAGGTAGTTTGTGACGATGTTGAGAGTGAAGTCTGGTGTTCTAACTGAGCTCGACCATAGCAGCCAGAGCACCGCTGAAGGCAGCGTTGTAGTCACAAGCCACCTCGTTGTGCTGGTAGTCCTGGCGGTCGTCAACGTAGCTGCCGTCCTGTGGAATTAAGAATAAAGAATGAAAAAAGGGAACGTCACAGTTAAGTGGTTAGGAACAGGTTGCCAAAAACCCTCACTTAGTAGAGCCTTGTTACATCGTTTTGAGTCATTGTTGAGTCCCCAATTGGGGTCTGAGAATGGTCGGACCAAAACGTCGTCATGAGCTTTCTCTCCTAAATGATGTTTTATAGTGAAAATAATATAGTATACAACAATTAAGATGCATTAGAGCTCCATACATTGTATAAAAGCTCTACGCACTGTATAAGAGCTCCAAACACTGGTTGTGAGCTCCCCGCACAATATATATGACTCCCACTGTGTACATAAAACAAAATATAAACATAAGTACATTTTCACATAACGTCGTTAGAAAAATCTGAAATATGACCAAAAGAGAAAACCTATTTTTTTTACAGGAAATCCCAAAGTTTATCCAAAACCTTAATCCTCTGCAATAATTTATTTCAAATCCATTTCAGACTAATATGCTAATTCTAGTGGGAAATTTTAATTAAAAATATGCTAGGTAAAAGTCATCAGACTAATATGCTAATTCTAGTGGGAAATTTTAATTAAAAATATGCTAGGCAAAACTCAGAAAATATGAAAAAATTAGGAAATTTCAGAGTACGCAAATAACCTGCACATAGAAAGAAACATACGACTTTTCGCTTCGACCCTGAGCACTAACTAGTAACACGAAATCGCGATTTGAAGGGTGCCAGTGTGTATATACACGAGAGAGGGACGGGGTCGGGAGTGGTAGAACGAGAGGAGGAAGTAGTATAACTATAGCAGTAATTGTACAAGTAGACATCAGAGTTTTCAATTTCATTCAATGTACTGAGATTTTGTGATGAAGTGTCTCAATCTTCAACTGAGATTTTGTACGACTTTCCAACTGAAATGAAGTTTAGACTGAAGATTAAATTTAAATTTGAGAAATGCCATCTTGCAGTTCAAGAATATACTCTCCATCTCATCCTCTCTCTTACCTGCCTCTTCTCATTGTAATCAAATTCTAACAAATTTGTAAGAGACAGTTTGCCATCTCTTAAAATTAGTAATAATGCTAGAATTACAGACTTAATGTTAGGTAAAAGGAAACATATGTAACTAATGTAACATTGTGGCAACGTTTCGCTCTCCACATTACTTGTCACATTACCTGCAAATGTATCCCTTTACCTGTTATTTATACTTTTTTTTTACGTTGAGGTATAAGTTATATATCGTTAAACAGTAATTAATAAGATCAAATTTGTGGCTTCTATTTTTCCTGTCTCTCTTCATCTATGTTTTTCATCCACACAATATTTTTTAAGCTTTCTGGAACTCAGCTTGAACTTTGATTAAGTGTCCAGTACCCCGAGCCTAGAGCTATCCTGCTTTTCCTTGATTCACTACCCAAGCTCTAATTTAGTGTTAATTTAGCGATTTAGTGCTTCCCTGTGAATGAACTAGAGAAACTAACCTGTGCTGGTCCTCCGACAAGAGCACCGTAGAGGACATGAGGGTTTGGACCAGGGTTTGTAAAACCTCCCGAGCAGTCAGATGGTGGGTTGGGGCAGGAACTGAGGAAGAAATACATTTCTTGATCATCTGTGTGATGTGTGACATTGATGGTGGAAATGTTGGTAGCAGAGGGTGATGGTATCAAGGTATTGGTGGAAATGTTGGTAGCAGAGGGTGATGGTATCAAGGTGTGTTGGTGGAAATGTTGGTAGCAGAGGGTGATGGTATCAAGGTGTGTTGGTGGAAATGTTGGTAGAGGAGGGTGATGGTATCAAGGTGTGTTGGTAGCAGTGATGGTAACAGACAGTAATGGTAACAGTGAGTGATAGGCAAAGTTTATAGATTATAATTTAAAAAAAAAAAACAAAGTGGGACAAACATGGCCTTATATCGTGTTCATTTTTTGTTTGAATAGTGTGTGTGTGTGTGTGTGTGTGTGTGTGTACCTGGAGCGGTGGTGAGGCTTCTCAGGAGGGTTCACACCGTAGCCCACAACGAAGGACTGGTACTTAGGATTGTCTCCCAGCAGCTGACCGATCTGGCCCTTGGCCCACTCACGATTTTCTTCTGCGTCGAGACCGAGCTTAGCAGCCTGAAATAAAATAATTAGTCATACGAGAAGTATTACAGCATGAATGCTCAGTACGTCATCTCTTTTCTCTAATGTGCTAAATGCAGAAGCAGAACAAGTGACAATTTCAATGTTCTTCATTAATTGTAATGATTTCCTCCTGCTGTTAAGTGCAAGGCGGAAATCTTGTTCTCCCAGCCAAACTTCCTAGTGGAATTCAATGTATGGTAAGTGAAACTAACATAGAGAGCGAGGTAAGCAACGTTAGCAGCATGACGATTGGCACCCCATGCGTCGAGGAAGACCAAGCCTTCGGGAGTGTATGGGGCGTCGTTCTTCACCCAGTCCAAGAAACTGACGAAAGCGTTCTTGTACTCATCTCCGCCGTCCAACATATAGAAGAGTCCCTGTAAGTTCCAGAGTAAAGCATATTAGTGGCAGTTACCAGACGAAGAATGATAGTAGCCTTAAGTTATAAAAACAAAAGCAGTAGAGCAAGTCATTCAAGCAACATTTAGCCAATAAGTAAGCGAAACGTCGTCCAAATATGGGTTTCCTCTGACATAAGTGTGTTCTATTACACTTATAAAGGATAAAAACGAATATACTAATACTGTCTTCATTTCTGTCTAACAAGACTAGCCTCAAATTCAGTCGTTTACATGGTGTAACATCATTGTAACATTTTATGCGACCATTCTCATACATCCATTGTCAATGCATTTAAGAATATTCGTATCATAACTAGTATGGATAATAAATGCAATGAATGCAGCCAATTAAATCTAAATAAAAACTTACGAACACTGCGGCCCTCTTGTCATCCCAAGAGAACTGGACTACTTCAGACCCTGTGTAGTCGAATTCGTCCCAGTGTCCTCTTGCACGTGTGAGGTAAGTATCGTCGTCAGTGGCCCTTGCCAGCCACAGTGCTGCCCAGGCCAGCTCGTCGCCATAGCCGCTCCACGAGCTGGGGAGAAGCATATGTTGAACAGCTTAAGCTCTTTGACCTGTGCATAACTTACATTGGTTGAAAGTACCTAATTTCATGATCAAATCTGGATATATTCATGGCTCATTCATTTATTATACATAACACATTACTTAGATTTAATCTTACTTGTAGTACGCTGTTGCATCAGTAATGGCATTAGTGTAGATATCACGATGTGCGTCAGCAAAATCGTAGAGCTCCTTCGCCACACTTAACATCTCCTCAGAGTAAGCAGAGTCTGATGACTGATGAAATAAGCGAGTTACACTGAGTGTGGGTAAATTATAAATTATGTCAGGCGAACATTTTTTGTTTTTTTTTGTTTTTTATAAAACTGAAGAAATTTAGATTAGAGATGTATATAAATCTCAAGTAAACCACTAGGAAGGAAGATAAAAATCGTAGGGGTTCCTCTCATTGAATAAATTTGACAATGTTGAAGGGATAATATCAAAATACTGAAGGCGATACAGTGAAATAAATATTGTAAGTGGTACAACATAATTGCCAAATTCAGGTGATCGTATGTAATAGAAACATTAAACAGATAAAAATAGCGAGTTATTACCTTGAAGACAATGGATGCTGCAGCAAGGGCAGCGGCTGTCTCACCGGCCAAGTCGCTTCCTACAGAAGATAAACAATTCCAGTCACTAATGTTATATCAACATCAAAAATACTAAGTGTACATTTCAGGGTAACAGTTACGGATCTCTTAATATTATCAACAATGAGAAGAATCAATAACAAATATGTTTTATGCGCATACTCCAGCTTAATGTGAACCTAAATCACTTAAATTGTGTTCATAGACACATTGTTGACTGGGCAGATTTCATATAAACTCACCTGGATGTGAGTCATCAATTTTGTAAGAGGGTCGCTCCATGGTCATGTCCTCTGGGCGTCCCCAGAAGGCGTGGTCTGGTCCTCCAGCTCCAACCTGAAGATGCCAACAAGTATTATATATTAAAACTGCATTAATAGAAGCCTTAAAAAGCGGTGGCTACGTTCAGTTCCTCGTTTCAACATTTTTCTGTGACCTTCTAGCACAAGAAGAAATGTCAGTCTTCCAGTAAGCAGATCTACGCTTCTGTTTTAAAAAAAATTACACTTTTTGTGCAAACTTAAGGTTTTAAGAGATAGGAGTTAATCAAACATTATCTTCGAGGGGAAACTAACATTTTTTTTTTTAAATGAAACGAACTTCCAGCCCCATTAACTCTTAACTTTACACCCTTCTTGTCCCTAATACAAAGCGCACTCGATAACCTGAATGAAAATTTAACCCAAAAAATCATTCTACTGACATACTATGCAAAACAACTTTTTATAATGTTGTGAATCAGGTTAAGTTGCAGAAGGAATACAAACCTGACCATAGAGTTCATCTTTAGCGGTGTGAGCCTTGAGGAAGTAGTCTGTGGCCCATTTGACAGCAGCTTTACCATACTCTACTTGATCTGTGGAAGAAATACCATGGTCATATACTTCCAAAATTCTGGTCTAAATAACTCGTGTTTTTTTTATTCTGCGTAATTATCAAAATATACTCAACTCTGTTAGCCTCATTAACAAGGTTGATAACCAACGTACGACAGGACTTACCAGCACTCTGGTGACCCTCTTCGAAATCAATGAGGCCCCAAGCCAGGACGGTGGCGGTGTAAGCCATTGGGAATCCAAACTTAACGTGATCACCAGCTGCAAATACAAACTTAAGAATTATAAAAGAAAATTAATATGAGCATCATAATATTTTCGTTCCTTCAACAGAGTTTAATGCGTGCAAGACAGGTATACAATACCGACAAGATGAAAGTTAAGACACTTGTGCAACATCTGGTTATCTTTATCGTAGACGTTATCTTTATTGTAAACATCTACAATAAAGATAACCTGATGTTGGACAAGTGTCTTAACTTTCACAGAGTTTAATGCGATCTGTGTCTATGATTACCGTCATAGTAGCCTCCAGTGAGGTCGTGACCAACATCAGAACCGTCATCAAGAGCTGAGTCGAAACGCCAAGTGACGCGCTGATCAGCAGGAAGCTTGCCTGACCGCTGAGCCTCGTAGAACACATAGGACATGCACAGTACCTGGTAGTAAGGAGAGATTTCTGAAAGATTCGTCAAGGATAAGACGTGTCGGATATGGATGAAGTGAAAAACAGGACGCAAATATGAAAAACCGAAGTGGAAATCAAAAAAAAAAAAATGACTTAGTGAAGGGTCGAGTAGGTATGAAAGGAGAATGTAGCATCCAGCGAAGAGTGAGTAACAAGACATGAGGAGTGGTTAGTTAAAAGTATGAAAATTATAGTGAAAAATACCTTATTTTGAAAAAAAATCATAAGTGATGAAAACCACTTAAGTTTCCCACTAAGGTTTTTTTTTTTCTATTAACGCATAAGCCAATTTTAAAATAATTATTGCTCTTGCATCTCGTCAGAGGCTTCAGAGAGCCCCTTCTTTCATATATAAGACACTTGTGCAACATTGGGTATCTTTATTCTGCTGCAAAAAGTGTATTATTTATCAGCTTATCAGTTTTCTAATCTATTTATGCAAACTCTTAATCTCTTGCATGAACACTGCAATGACTGCGAAACTACGCTCAGTGTTGTTCTCTGTTTATAAACACAACTAAGTATAAAATTAAGAGATAAACTGAGAAGCAGAAGAGAAAGCAATAAATAAAGGCAAACTAGTCTTTGAGATGGATAACCTTGATAAAAGTCTTAAGTTAACAGGCCGGTAAACTGTGGAAATTCTCAAGGGAAGGTGATAGAGTAGGATACGTCGTTAACAGCAACACCATTTATTGTGTAACAGCAAATATGATGCTATTGGCTAGTTTTAACTTATGCTAACATATCAACATTTCTCGATTATTATTTATGTGTATTAGGGTTTTTGCTCCAAAATTACGAGATCTGGCCAAATCACTCAAGTTACTGACCTGGGCGTAGTCGTAGGGTGACATGCCAGTCTCAGCACAAGGATTCTGCATGGGTGTTGGTGTAGTGAAGGCCGAGTCTGTCAGCCAGAGAAATAATCACTGGTTAATATATTTAAGACAATTAGTGATTATCTCTAGGAGCGAACAGTCTTTCTCTTAATGGAAGGATGAGGCTCCACTACCTGCGCTTAATAACCAATGTGGCTGCAACGCGTCACACAAAAAAATATGCATGTCATGATAATTGATTAAGACGAAATAATAGAATTGAGGTGAAGATGTTAATAAGAGACACGGCAATGATGCATAAAGCAGGAATAAGCAACAAAATAAGAGGACGCTGGGATGAATGAAGATATCGTAATAACACGATTGCAGACAAATCAGAAAATGGTGGGGATGCGAACCCACTGGGCTTGCTGCCATGGGTTCAAACCCCCACCCGTTCCTTGATTCGCTGGTAATGAAGCTATTATATCCTTCATGTGTAAGTCGCTGTGCTGTAACTGTTACTGGCATAAATTTTCTACACAAAGATCAAAATCATCTCTACCGAACAGTTTGTCTTATTTCTCTAACTTCCATAAAATTAGGAAATATCTAATGTTCATGATTATAAAGTCATGGGCGAAACGTTGTAGTATTCACTGCGTTTCTCTCACTTACTGTCAGCTACTATTATTTGTTCATATTGCTACTTAAACGTATCCTTGTTGTATTGCGTTGTGTTTTGCGTATATATGTATGTGTATATATATGTATGTATGTGTGTTTACCTGGAGTTTACCTGGAGAGAGTTCCGGGGGTCAACGCCCCCGCGGCCCGGTCTGAGACCAGGCCTCCTGGTGGATCAGAGCCTGATCAACCAGGCTGTTGCTGCTGGCTGCACGCAAACCAACATACGAGCCACAGCCCGGCTGATCCGGAACTGACTTTAGGTGCTTGTCCAGTGCCAGCTTGAAGACTGCCAGGGGTCTGTTGGTAATCCCCCTTATGTGTGCTGGGAGGCAGTTGAACAGTCTCGGGCCCCTGACACTTATTGTATGGTCTCTTAACGTGCTAGTGACACCCCTGCTTTTCATTGGGGGATGGTGCATCGTCTGCCAAGTCTTTTGCTTTCGTAGTGGGTGATTTTCGTGTGCAAGTTCGGTACTAGTCCCTCTAGGATTTTCCAGGTGTATATAATCATGTATCTCTCCCTCCTGCGTTCCAGGGAATACAGGTTTAGGAACCTCAAGCGCTCCCAATAATTGAGGTGTTTTATCTCCGTTATGCGCGCCGTGAAAGTTCTCTGTACATTTTCTAGGTCGGCAATTTCACCTGCCTTGAAAGGTGCTGTTAGTGTGCAGCAATATTCCAGCCTAGATAGAACAAGTGACCTGAAGAGTGTCATCATGGGCTTGGCCTCCCTAGTTTTGAAGGTTCTCATTATCCATCCTGTCATTTTTCTAGCAGATGCGATTGATACAATGTTATGGTCCTTGAAGGTGAGATCCTCCGACATGATCACTCCCAGGTCTTTGACGTTGGTGTTTCGCTCTATTTTGTGGCCAGAATTTGTTTTGTACTCTGATGAAGATTTAATTTCCTCATGTTTACCATATCTGAGTAATTGAAATTTCTCATCGTTGAACTTCATATTGTTTTCTGCAGCCCACTGAAAGATTTGGTTGATGTCTGCCTGGAGCTTTGCAGTGTCTGCAATGGAAGACACTGTCATGCAGATTCGGGTGTCATCTGCAAAGGAAGACACGGTGCTGTGGCTGACATCCTTGTCTATGTCGGATATAAGGATGAGGAACAAGATGGGAGCGAGTACTGTGCCTTGTGGAACAGAGCTTTTCACCGTAGCTGCCTCGGACTTTACTCTGTTGACGACTACTCTCTGTGTTCTGTTAGTGAGGAAATTATAGATCCATCGACCGACTTTTCCTGTTATTCCTTTAGCACGCATTTTGTGCGCTATTACGCCATGGTCACACTTGTCGAAGGCTTTTGCAAAGTCTGTATATATTACATCTGCATTCTTTTTGTCTTCTAGTGCATTTAGGACCTTGTCGTAGTGGTCCAATAGTTGAGACAGACAGGAGCGACCTGTTCTAAACCCATGTTGCCCTGGGTTGTGTAACTGATGGGTTTCTAGATGCGTGGTGATCTTGCTTCTTAGGACCCTTTCAAAGATTTTTATGATATGGGATGTTAGTGCTATTGGTCTGTAGTTCTTTGCTGTTGCTTTACTGCCCCCTTTGTGGAGTGGGGCTATGTCTGTTGTTTTTAGTAACTGTGGGACGACCCCCGTGTCCATGCTCCCTCTCCATAGGATGGAAAAGGCTCGTGATAGGGGCTTCTTGCAGTTCTTGATGAACACAGAGTTCCATGAGTCTGGCCCTGGGGCAGAGTGCATGGGCATGTCATTTATCGCCTGTTCGAAGTCATTTGGCGTCAGGATAACATCGGATAGGCTTGTGTTAATCAAATTTTGTGGCTCTCTCATAAAAAATTCATTTTGATCTTCGACTCTCAGTCTGGTTAGCGGCTTGCTAAAAACTGAGTCATATTGGGACTTGAGTAGAGAGTGATCCATGAGACAGATAAAGGACAGAGAGTGATCAATGAGACAGATAAAGGACAGAGAGTGATCTATGAGACAGATAAAGGACAGAGAGTGATCTATGAGACAGATAAAGGACAGAGAGTGATCTATGAGACAGATAAAGGACAGAGAGTGATCAATGAGACAGATAAAGGACAGAGAGTGATCTATGAGACAGATAAAGGACAGAGAGTGATCCATGAGACAGATAAAGGACAGAGAGTGATCCATGAGACAGATAAAGGACAGAGAGTGATCCATGAGACTGATCCCTGTCAGTGATCATGGGAGAGAGTGATCCCTCGTAGCCAGTGATAAAGGGAGTGATCCCTCGTAGCCAGTTATAAAGGGAGTGATCCCTCGTAGCCAGTTATAAAGGGAGTGATCCCTCGTAGCCAGTTATAAAGGGAGTGATCCCTCGTAGCCAGTGATAAAGGGAGTGATCCCTCGTAGCCAGTGATAAAGGGAGTGATCCCTCGTAGCCAGTGATAAAGGGAGTGATCCCTCGTAGCCAGTGATAAAGGGAGTGATCCCTCGTAGCCAGTTATAAAGGGAGTGATCCCTCGTAGCCAGTTATAAAGGGAGTGATCCCTCGTAGCCAGTTATAAAGGGAGTGATCCCTCGTAGCCAGTGATAAAGGAGTGATCCCTCGTAGCCAGTGATAAAGGGAGTGATCCCTCGTAGCCAGTGATAAAGGGAGTGATCCCTCGTAGCCAGTTATAAAGGGAGTGATCCCTCGTAGCCAGTTATAAAGGGAGTGATCCCTCGTAGCCAGTTATAAAGGGAGTGATCCCTCGTAGCCAGTGATAAAGGGAGTGATCCCTCGTAGCCAGTTATAAAGGGAGTGATCCCTCGTAGCCAGTTATAAAGGGAGTGATCCCTCGTAGCCAGTTATAAAGGGAGTGATCCCTCGTAGCCAGTGATAAAGGGAGTGATCCCTCGTAGCCAGTGATAAAGGGAGTGATCCCTCGTAGCCAGTGATAAAGGGAGTGATCCCTCGTAGCCAGTGATAAAGGGAGTGATCCCTCGTAGCCAGTTATAAAGGGAGTGATCCCTCGTAGCCAGTTATAAAGGGAGTGATCCCTCGTAGCCAGTTATAAAGGGAGTGATCCCTCGTAGCCAGTGATAAAGGGAGTGATCCCTCGTAGCCAGTGATAAAGGGAGTGATCCCTCGTAGCCAGTGATAAAGGGAGTGATCCCTCGTAGCCAGTGATAAAGGGAGTGATCCCTCGTAGCCAGTTATAAAGGAGTGATCCCTCGTAGCCAGTGATAAAGGGAGTGATCCCTCGTAGCCAGTGATAAAGGGAGTGATCCCTCGTAGCCAGTTATAAAGGGAGTGATCCCTCGTAGCCAGTGATAAAGGGAGTGATCCCTCGTAGCCAGTGATAAAGGGAGTGATCCCTCGTAGCCAGTGATAAAGGGGGTGATCCCTCGTAGCCAGTGATAAAGGGGGTGATCCCTCGTAGCCAGTGATAAAGGGAGTGATCCCTCGTAGCCAGTTATAAAGGGGGTGATCCCTCGTAGCCAGTGATAAAGGGAGTGATCCCTCGTAGCCAGTGATAAAGGGAGTGATCCCTCGTAGCCAGTGATAAAGGGAGAGAATGATCACTCGCAGCCAGTGATAAAGGGAGAGAGTGATCCCTCACAGCCAGTGATAAAGGGAGTGATCCCTCGTAGCCATGTGATAAAGGGAGAGAGTGATCACTCGCAGCCAGTGATAAAGGGAGTGATCCCTCGTAGCCATGTGATAAAGGGAGAGAGTGATCCCTCACAGCCAGTGATAAAGGGAGTGATCCCTCGTAGCCATGTGATAAAGGGAGAGAGTGATCCCTCACAGCCAGTGATAAAGGGAGTGATCCCTCGTAGCCATGTGATAAAGGGAGAGAGTGATCCCTCGCAGCCAGTGATAAAGGGAGTGATCCCTCATAGCCATGTGATAAAGGGAGAGAATGATCACTCGCAGCCAGTGATAAAGGGAGAGAGTGATCACTCGCAGCCAGTGATAAAGGGAGTGATCCCTCGTAGCCATGTGATAAAGGGAGAGAGTGATCCCTCACAGCCAGTGATAAAGGGAGTGATCCCTCGTAGCCATGTGATAAAGGGAGAGAGTGATCCCTCACAGCCAGTGATAAAGGGAGTGATCCCTCGCAGCCAGTGATAAAGGGAGTGATCCCTCGCAGCCAGTGATAAAGGGGGGCGTTCACCTCCGAAACCTCTCCGGGTAGCCCTCTCCAGGTATACATTACTGGAACAATTCACCAAACACCCTCACTTACTTGATGAAGCTTAAGACGACGTTTCGGTCCCACCTGGGCCATCATCAAGCCTAAGGAGGGTAAAGGTTGGGGAAAAGGGTTCGGTAGTGTTTGGGGAGGAGGACCGTAGGGGATTATAATATCTAATACGTTAAGACTATGCGTTACGTCTTGCTGGTCACATGTTCAATTTCTGCTGGAAATGAGAAAAGTGACTTTGATGTGGGAAGCAATTTTTCCCTGACGGACTTTAAATAAACTCATAACAAATGTATCTCTCTCTCTCTCTCTCTCATCTAAGAAACCAACATAAGTTTAAAATCCAATTAAACTGGACTTCAGATATATGCAAATTAGCTAAAATTTCCCTCAGTATTCAAAGACAAAGACGAGTCCATATTGGCACCGTGAAGATGAGTCCTGGCACCGTAAAGATGAGTCCTGGCACCGTAAAGATGAGTCCTGGCACCGTAAAGATGAGTCCTGGCACCGTGAATATGAGTCCAGGCACCGTGAAGATGAGTCCTGGCACCGTGAATGCAAGTCATAGGAAGATTAGGGAATATGAGTGAAAATGACGGTGAGGGGAAGGGATTACATGAGGGAGAGGAGAGTATGAAGAGAAAAAAATGAAAGGAAAATGGAGGAGAGGTGAGAGGAGAGAGGGAGAGGAAAAAAGACAAAGCAAATTAAAGAATGAAGGAGATATGTAGGACAAAAAAGATTAAGCGAATAGTAGATAGTAGTCAGCTGTGTGGTAGCACTGGACATTGCTGGCGCTTTCGACCGGGTGTGGCACCAGGGCCTCTTAGCAAACTTCAAGCACTGGGAATTGCAGGCTCTACGCTATGTCTCCTCAGTGATTACCTTCATGGTAGATCTCTAAGTGTAGTTCTCAATGGAACGGAATCAGCAAGACATCCTATTGGGGCAAGTGTTCCACAAGGAAGCGTGCTGAGTCCATTGTTATGGAATGTCTACTTCAACGACCTTCTTCATCTCATCCCAGAATCACATGCATATGCAGACGACTGTACACTGACATTCACTTATCCAAGAGAAGAAATGCCAGCTGCTCTAAGCTACATCAATCACCAGCTGAGAGCTATATCAGCTTGGGGAAATAGATGGCAAGTAACATTTGCACCTGAGAAAACGCAAATGATAATCGTCTCTAGGCACCATGATGGTAGTAATGCTGGTGCAGTAGTAAGGATGAATGGGAGGATGTTGGCACCTGGAGAAGAAGTTGATATCCTTGGGGTGAAATTTGACTCCAAACTAACCATGAAGAACCATGTTGTAAATCTTGCAAACAAGGCAGCCAGGAAGCTTACAGCACTTCGCCGTATCTCCCATCTGCTTGACAGTAGGGGTTGCAAGATCCTGTACGAGGCACAAGTACGCTCGCACCTTGAGTATGCTCCACTTTCTTGGTTTGCCTGCCCCCCCTCTCATCTGCGACTGCTTGACAGAGTAGAGAACAGAGCAAGACGTCTCATCTCTCGCCTGGACCCATCCTGGATAGATCTGTCATTTCAGCAGAGCCTTCAACATAGGAGGGATGTGGGTGGCCTTACTGTTATGTACAAGGCCAATATTGTCAAAATACCACACTTGGATCCACTTCGAGGACAGCGTGAAACAAGCTTTTATGCCACAAGACGGGCAGAAAGCAGCAACTTCACTCTGGCTGTACCCTTCTCCAGAACATCACTCCATCTGAGATCATACATACCCAGGATGACTCGAGTATGGAACACATTCGTACAGCATAATGATGTCAACGAGAGATAAAGTCAGTTGATCAAATGAAAATGCTGGCCCACAGATGGCTCCAACTTCATCCTGTTCCCTACTTGTATGTCTCATAACAATAAAAATGCTTTCAAATGAGCTGATGTAGGTAACAGCTCTTAGCTTGCCAATAAAGTTAGGAATCCTTAACCTGTAAATAGCTGTCAATAAAGCTAGGGATCCTTAACCTGTCAAACCCTGTGTAAAAAAAAAAAAAAAAAAAAAAAAAAAAAAAAAAAAAAAAAAAAAAAGAGAGAGAGAGAGAGAGAAAGACAGAAACAGACAGAGAAAGGAAAGAATCAGGAACTAGTAATGAAAACATGCTTATAATAACACTCAAAAAAACCCATATGACCCATCTCACACACACAAAAAAAGACCTACACCATTAACATTTTCACAAATTTCCTCACTATCTTTCTCATAATTATTTCATACGAGGCCAGATTTCACGAAGTCTGATCTCGTAAAGAACACTCGCTCAAGTGCTTAAAGAAGATATACGGAATGTATTGTGCACGAAATTCTGCCCAAGAGTTTTGAAGACTCATCGGCTCTCTATATTGATTGGTTAGCTGAAGTGTCGTTTGTGTAAGCCTTTTGACAGTCCTAAGTGTGGGTTATGCAATAATAATAATAATAATAATAATAATAATAATAATAATAATAATAATAATTATTATTATTATTATTAATATTATTATTATTATCATTATTATTATTATTATTATTATGGCTGTTGTTATTCTCGTTATTCTTGTTGCTATCATCGTCGTTCCTTGTTTTCCTCGACACTCGGAAAGAGACGCAAATCGTAAAAAAAGACGAGTGGGGAGGGGGAATTTCTCCGAGTGGGATAGCCAATTCCCTTGGAGTCTGATTACTCGACTGAGTGGGCTGTCTCATTTTCCCCTCCTCTCTCTCCCCTTCTCTCTTTCCTCTTCCAAGTCGAGTGGGATGCGTTCCATTGAGAGCGATGATCTGTGCCAGCACTGAGGTTACATCTGGGCGAAAATAAAGTTGTTGGAGACGGTGCACACATACCTCTTGATCGTTTCTTGTGAGTTCTCCACCTTCTTTCCTCAGCCTTATCACCTGGTCCTTGTGTATATATGTGTGTATGTATGTGTATGGTATAAACTTTGGTAATAAATACCGACAAGTTGGTTTAGAAAGACACGTAAGCAAACACTATAACATATTTATTAGAAAACGTTTCGGTCCTGGGACCTTGATCACTTCTAACATACAGAGGTAGAAAGACAATGTATATATAGGCGGAGAGTGAGATGTGACGCACGTGACCTGAGGAATGTCATAAGAACATAAGAATGGAGGAACGCCTGTGTCCTCCACAGAGACTCCACGGGGCATTTGATGAACTGGAACGAGGCACAACTCGTTCTCACAGAACCAGACCTCAGACGCCGACGGTGCCTAGAAGCCTCACTAATCGCCGTCACCGACACTATAGAACGCAACACTGGAAACTACAAAATTTCAAAAACATTGGCATACATGATACTTAAGCAGCACCAACCCAACAACACAGGAGTCACATGATTTCAACGTCTACCCGTCCTCATCATAGGCAGAGGTTGTTTTGATAAGGACCTGCCTCGCATGGGCCAGTAGGCCTTCTACAGTGTTCCTCCATTCTTATGTTCTTATGACATTCCTCAGGTCACGTGCGTCACATCTCACTCTCCGCCTATATATATAATGTCTTTCTACCTCTGTACGTTAGAAGTGATCAAGGTCCTAGGACCGAAACGTTTTCTAATAAATATGTTATAGTGTGTTTGCTTACGTGTCTTTCTAAACCATGTATGTATATATATATATATAATATATATATATATATATATATATATATATATATATATATATATATATATATATATATATATATATGCAATAAGATCACAGTAAACAGGTGATTTCAGAATATGCAAAACAACCACTCTGAAAGAATAGAGAAATTCCAAGCGCTTTCGTGACTACTCACATTATCAAGGAACTATCCTTGATAATGTGAGTAGTCACGAAAGCACTTTGAATTTCTCTATTCTTTCAGGGTGGTTGTTTTGCATATATATATATATGTATATATATATATATATATATATATATATATATATATATATATATATATATATATATATATATATATATATATATATATATATATATATATATATATATATATATATATATATATATATATATATATATATTAGAAAGGACTAAATTTTTTAATTAACCAGTTTTACCTATTCGGCACGACATATATTGTAGTTATGAACATTAAATAACCCACACCGTCAAAGTTCACCGTGTAAATATCCCAAACGTAACTACTTACACCGTCGGTCATCCAAGATGCAGCATCACTTACCGCAGATTTCTACGCCGTTCAACACTTCATGGATGACTAGAGGGCTTAATGCAGAGTAATGTACCTGGAAGTCAAACTTGATCTCTTCACCAGCATTTACATTAATGTTGTTGCTGGTCAGGGTGTAGTGAGTGTCGTCCACCTTCGTCGCCTGACCCGAATAAAACTGTAAACGATACACAAAATCGTCAGCTAATCCAAAAAATTTTATAGCCTCCCGTCATTATATTTTCCTTTACGACCTTTCAATAAATATTTTGAATAAATTTGTATCACGTTTTTCAAAACGTATGGATACAGAACCTATAATATATTCTTTTTAAACTAATATTTTAAATAATGGAAAACTCATAGATGATTTTAGGAATTTCAAACAGAAAATAATTCCAATTAGAGATTTCTAGATTAAAAATAAAAAAATTGACACTCGAAATATATTTGTTGGAATTGTAAACATGGAATTTCAAACATAAATATATATGTATTTAGCATATAATGTAGCCTTAATCTGTAGCTTTCATATATTTAACTACAATAATGCACATTTATTACTGTTAATAATCATCTTAAGACAGCATAAGACAGGAGGAACACTGCAGGAGGCCTGTTGGCCCATACTAGGCACGTCCTTCATAATCCATCCTATTAATAGGATATTTGCCCAACCCGATTTTCAGTGCTGTCTAAGAAATAAGCTTTGATAATTCTATTTACTCATGTGCAAGTCCCACTCAAATCCAACCCCTCTCAATTATGTATTCATCTAACCTAAATTTGAACTACCCAAGGTCCTAGCATCAACAACCCTACTAGGTAGACTGTTCCACTCATCAACTACTCTATTTCCAAACCAATACTTTCCTATATCTTTTCTAAATCTAAACTTATCTAATTTGAAGTTGAAGTTGATCAAATGTGTGCAGCATTTTGGTATATTTATTGATGAAACGCCTCGCCACACAGTGGCTTCATTAGTCCATACATAGGAGATGAATGGTTCAGAGAACCGACATGTTGTTGAGTTAGACACATGTGCAACTCTTGGGTATCTTTATTGAGGAAACGTTTCGCCACACAGTGGCTTCATCAGTCCATACAAAGGAGAAACTTGAAGAACAGGAGGAGAATGAGGTAATCAGTCCCTCAACCTTGAGTCGATGTGGTCAGTCCATCAATCTTGAATAGATTGATGGACTCAAGGTTGAGGAACTGATTACCTCATTCTCCTCCTGTTCTTCAAGTTTCTCCTTTGTATGGACTGATGAAGCCACTGTGTGGCGAAACGTTTCCTCAATAAAGATACCCAAGAGTTGCACATGTGTCTAATTTAACATAATAATCACCATAAAGTAATTTAAAAAAAAAAACATTGAGAATGAATACCATATTATCTGAGCTAAACGAGGCTGTTTTGTAATGTTGACTTAAACAATATATCCTCATGAGCATAAAGAATGAGAGCTGCAGTAGGCCTACTGGCCCATACTAGTCAGGTCCTCCTCAAACCCAACCCCACTAACAGTAATGTTTACCCAACCCACGATGAAATAAGTCTGTAGAGTAGTGAAACTCTGGAAACTCTTCAAAGGTATATCAAAGGTAGAGTATAGTAATATAAACAGATGATATTAACATACATCAACGGCATCCGGAGGTGAGCTGAACTCCAGCTCCAGGGTCAGGCCATTGATGTCTGCAGGAGCTGTAGCAGTGAATTCTGCCTGATAGTTGCCCGGCCAAGTGTTTGTAATGACGATGTTGTCACACTGAGCCTCCGCTCCTGTACACCAACAATGTACGAGTGTAATTCACATCTCAACCATAAACAACGTTTCGATCGGTCCTGGACTAATACCAAGTGGTAATAATGGTACAATGGACACATGTGTAACTAATGTGACATTGCGGCAACGTTTCGCTATCCAAGAGCCTTAAGCCGTTAACTTAAGGACTTGACAAAGCTCCTGGAGACCAAAACGTCTCCACAATAAAATGTCGTATTAGTTGCCCCTCTATCCACTTACCAAGTAAAAAGTCAAGGAGGGGGCGAAACATCTTTTAACTTTACAGTAGTTATGAAGAGTTCCAGCTACGTTATTGTGACTTAAATTTTAAAACTACGGAATTCTGATACGAAATGATCAGGAACAAATGAATTGTGTGTTACTAAGATACTTTACTACAAGTTTTAAAGTTCCTAAAGACTGATGACTTTGATGATGTTAAAGACTGATGACTTTGATGATGTTAAAGACTGATGACTTTGATGATGTTAAAGACTGATGACTTTGATGATGTTAAAGACTGATGACTTTGATGATGTTAAAGACTGATGACTTTGATGATGTTAAAGACTGATGGCTTTGATGATGTTAAAGACTGATGACTTTGATGATGTTAAAGGCTGATGGCTTTGATGATGTTAAAGACTGATGACTTTGAAGTTAAAGACTGATGACTTTGTTGATGCTAAAGACTGATGGCTTTGAAAAAGTTAATTCAGACTGATGATGACTTTGAAATACTGTACATCTCTTTGACGAAGCTGTGCATTTTCATAACAAGTGAATTTGAGTTAGAAACACTACCTGAGAGAAGGAAGGAGAGAGCGAGTGCCCCCAGCAGGCAGGTCTTCAGGACTCCAGTCATGTTTGCAGCGGACCAAAGAAGACTATGGTACAGAAGGAGGGTTCCCGACCCCTTATATACCCGTCAGATATCTCTCAAACTCACGTCTTTGACATCAGTTATATGCGTCATTGAGAGATAATTCGACATAAAATATGTTGGGCACCATATTGTGCTTTTCCCAGCAATAAAAACTCGTGTATCACTTTACTGCCTGATAAAACTCTTCCAGTATACACTACGATATAATGTATCTCCTCACCGCCTAGTTTGTTGGGTTCACAGCTTATCGTCTACGTGATGGAGTATTACGTTAGTTTGTTGGGTTTGTAGCCAATCGTCTACGTGATGGAGTATTATGTTAATTTGTTGGGTTCACAGCCTATCGTCTACGTGAGGGTTTTTACGTCTGCGATCCATTTAGACGCAAATATCAGTGAACTTTAATTTCTAAGGCACAGTGAGAAAAGGAGAACTACCGACAATATATTTGCTAAAAGGGCACATGTGTAATTAATGTGACATTTTATTGTGGCAACGTTTCGCTCTCCAAGGGCGAAACACTTTTGACAAAGTTCCTGGGGAACGAAACGTTGCCACAGTAAAATATCACATCAGTTGCACAGATGTCCATTTACCTAAGGTAAGTTGAGAGAGATAGTTGTATCATTTATTGAGTTGAAAGCCTATCGAGTACTCGAGGGCCTTTGAGGTTACTTGTAATATGTACACAACAAAGATACTTAAATCTATAAAACTGCGATATAAAATGCACTGTAAAATACACTGAAAGATACGTACCTCAGTGACTATACCTGCACCCCTGTCAAAACCTAATAATTAACTTCGAATTCGAACACACTTTTGTAGAAACACTGGTCACTAGGTCAGACGAACCCACGTGAATGTAAACCAAAAGATCAGATGAGTAGGACATGTTTCGACATCGCACTGAGGCCCTCTCAGCATAACCTTTTCGATGGGGTCGCCTTCAAGCTGGTAAACGATACTTGATTAGAATTTTAGCTACCTCATTATCCTTGGATTAATCCCGATTACCTTCCATTCTACAGGTAGAAATAGGTATTTACAATTTTCCAGTAATCCGTGTCCCGTCTTCCAGCATAACTCACTGGAAAAGAATCTGGAGAAAGTTCTCTTGCACATTTTATCACTTTTCTTCCTATCCAATTTTTTTGTGAAGATTTCAAAGTGCTTTAAAAAGTAGGGTGTAGAGGTGAGGGTCAAGTAAATGTTTAAAGTTGCTCTGAAAAGTTTGGGAGATGTTGTGGGTGTGTTTAAGAGTTGCAGGAGAGTAGGAAGAGGCTTTTTGATACAGGTATGAGAGTAGAGAAGAAAAAGGCACAATATTGTGACTGGAATAATGCACAAGTATCCCTCACATAGAAGAGAGACATGACGTTTCGATCCGACTTGGACCATTTGCAAGTCACTGTGACTTGTATAGGATGCAAGCTGGACCGAAGCGCCGTCATAGGCTTTTCTCTCCTATGTGCAGGTTATTTGTGTACGGTACGAGATTACCAGGGATGTATGGGATGTAAGGAATGTGGTAAAATGATGTAGGAGTAATAGAGGACTTGGACAGGAGTAAGCTGTAAGAGTGTTGACACAGCAGTCTTTAAGCAGAAGATGAAGGACCCCCGTGGTAATAATTTACGCTATGATAATTGTACTTATGTGCCTAAATACACGTTACCTGTGCCTAAATACACGTACTCAGTTCCTTCACTCAGCAGTGTTGATGACCTAAGAGCTGCAGTTTTACCTGTCTCATACACAACTAAATGAAACATAGTCAGAGGTCTATATTCGAATCATTAAAGAGTTTACTATATAAAGTTCTGGCTCATTTTTGAAGACGGAAGAGCATCCATTGGAGATTATCTCTCATTCAACGACTCAGCATCAAGTTCCTAATACAAAAAAGCTCAAACACAGCTGGCTTCATAGCCCACGAGCCGGATGTACACGTAGTTTATGCCATCACCCAGTTATTTAAATGGCTGTGGCTGCAGAGGCAGAACAAAAACATTTACCTAGGCCTTTTGACTAGTATCGATCATCTTTATTAATTCCAGGCCTGTAGGATTCGATGATACCTGGTTTGGGAACAGTGTATGGCATTCTATCCTCAATATCCTCATCCAGTTTGATATACTTATTGGTTTGGGCTACAAAATGTATTTCGTTGTGGCTCATCTGTGTTCCTAGTTGCCATTTGTGTTCCTAGCTGCCATCCGTGTCCCCTAACTCCCAAAATTAGCATCTCAGTCTATCTTTATTCGCCCCATCTTGCTCATCACCTAGTTTGTTGGGTTTACAACCTATCGTCTACGTGAGAGTTATTACGTCCATGATCCATTTGGACGCAAATATCAAGGACACGTTAATTTCTAAGGTACCAGAGAGAGAGATGGTTGCATTATTGAGTTTAAAGCCTCTCGACTACACAAGGGCCATCTTAATCGTGTTTTCCTGGTCTCCTCACTTCTAAAGTGAGGTTAAATTTCTTAATGGTCTCGTAGTCCATCAATCTCAGCTCTGACACCAATGTTGTACCAAACTCTTGAACCCTCTCTGGTCTCCATATGTTCTTGCTCGGGTGATGGTCTCGTGTACCTACGTACATACGTCAACAGTATTTTCAAAACGAAATCTTCAGCAGTATCAGTTTTGGGAACATCCAGGTGATGGTGTTGCTGTTGATAAAGTGACCTTCACGGGGGTAATTATATGCAGGCTTATCTTCTTACTTCTTCAAACTTTCCTGCTGATTATTCTTCATCTCGTCGTGAAACCTTCCTAGTGATTATTTTTCCAGTAGTATTGAAACCTTCCAAGTGGTTATTTTTCCAGTCGTACATGAAACCTTCCTGGTGATTACCTTTCGTCAATAAACCTTCCTAGTGATTATTTTTCTTCTAATCTTGGAGCCTTCCTAGTGATTACTTTCTTCTCGTTGTGGAACCCTGCTAGTGATTAACACAGGTGCTATAAGGCTCTTACAGGTTTACCGCTTCCTTCCTTTAAAATAATGATTACCTTTGTTATTGTCTTGCAAACAATGCTAGATAAGCAGACTTCTAGATTTTCATGTTTTAGTTGAGCAACTGATGCGTCAGATCATTACCTATTGTAGCAGTTAATACGTCAGATCATTACCTATTGTAGCAGTTAATACGTCAGATCATTACCTATTGTAGCAGTTAATACGTCAGATCATTACCTATTGTAGCAGTTAATACGTCAGATCACAGTGGAGCAATTAATACGTCAGATCATTACTTAGTGGAGCAATTAAACGTCAGATCATTATTTAGTGGAGCAATTAAACGTCAGATCATTACTTAGTGTAGCAATTAATACGTCAGATCATTACTTAGTGGAGCAATTAAACGTCAAATCATTACTTAGTGTAGCAATTAATACGTCAGATCATTACTTAGTGGAGCAATTAAACGTCAGATCATTACTTAGTGTAGCAATTAATACGTCAGATCATTACTTAGTGGAGCAATTAAACGTCAAATCATTACTTAGTGTAGCAATTAATACGTCAGATCATTACTTAGTGGAGCAATTAAACGTCAGATCATTACTTAGTGTAGCAATTAATACGTTAGATCATTACTTAGTGGAGCAATTAAACGTCAGATCATTACTTAGTGGAGCAATTAAACGTCAGATCATTACTTAGTGTAGCAATTAATACGTCAGATCATTACTTAGTGGAGCAATTAAACGTCAGATCATTACTTAGTGTAGCAATTAATACGTCAGATCATTACTTAGTGGAGCAATTAATACGTCAGATCATTACTTAGTGTAGCAATTAATACGTCAGGTCATTACTTAGTGGAGCAATTAAACGTCAGATCATTACTTAGTGTAGCAATTAATACGTCAGATCATTACTTAGTGGAGCAATTAAACGTCAGATCATTACTTAGTGTAGCAATTAATACGTCAGATCATTACTTAGTGGAGCAATTAAACGTCAAATCATTACTTAGTGTAGCAATTAATACGTCAGATCATTACTTAGTGGAGCAATTAAACGTCAGATCATTACTTAGTGTAGCAATTAATACGTCAGATCATTACTTAGTGGAGCAATTAAACGTCAGATCATTACTTAGTGTAGCAATTAATACGTCAGATCATTACTTAGTGGAGCAATTAAACGTCAAATCATTACTTAGTGTAGCAATTAATACGTCAGATCATTACTTAGTGGAGCAATTAAACGTCAGATCATTACTTAGTGTAGCAATTAATACGTCAGATCATTACTTAGTGGAGCAATTAAACGTCAGATCATTACTTAGTGTAGCAATTAATACGTCAGATCATTACTTAGTGGAGCAATTAAACGTCAAATCATTACTTAGTGTAGCAATTAATACGTCAGATCATTACTTAGTGGAGCAATTAAACGTCAGATCATTACTTAGTGTAGCAATTAATACGTCAGATCATTACTTAGTGGAGCAATTAAACGTCAGATCATTACTTAGTGTAGCAATTAATACGTCAGATCATTACTTAGTGGAGCAATTAATACGTCAGATCATTACTTAGTGGAGCAATTAATACGTCAGATCATTACTTAGTGGAGCAATTAATACGTCAGATCATTACTTAGTGGAGCAATTAAACGTCAGATCATTACTTAGTGGAGCAATTAATACGTCAGATCATTACTTAGTGGAGCAATTAATACGTCAGATCATTACTTAGTGGAGCAATTAATACGTCAGATCATTACTTAGTGTAGCAATTAATACGTCAGATCATTACTTAGTGTAGCAATTAAACGTCAGATCATTACTTAGTGTAGCAATTAAACGTCAGATCATTACTTAGTGTAGCAATTAATACGTCAGATCATTACTTAGTGTAGCAATTAAACGTCAGATCATTACTTAGTGTAGCAATTAAACGTCAGATCATTACTTAGTGTAGCAATTAAACGTCAGATCATTACTTAGTGTAGCAATTAAACGTCAGATCATTACTTAGTGTAGCAATTAATACGTCAGATCATTACTTAGTGTAGCAATTAAACGTCAGATCATTACTTAGTGTAGCAATTAATACGTCAGATCATTACTTAGTGTATCAATTAATACGTCAGATCATTACTTAGTGTAGCAATTAATACGTCAGATCATTACTTAGTGTAGCAATTAATACGTCAGGTCATTACTTAGTGTAGCAATTAAACGTCAGATCATTACTTAGTGTAGCAATTAATACGTCAGATCATTACTTAGTGGAGCAATTAATACGTCAGATCATTACTTAGTGGAGCAATTAATACGTCAGATCATTACTTAGTGTAGCAATTAATACGTCAGATCATTACTTAGTGTAGCAATTAATACGTCAGATCATTACTTAGTGGAGCAATTAATACGTCAGGTCATTACTTAGTGTAGCAATTAAACGTCAGATCATTACTTAGTGTAGCAATTAATACGTCAGATCATTACTTAGTGTAGCAATTAATACGTCAGGTCATTACTTAGTGTAGCAATTAAACGTCAGATCATTACTTAGTGTAGCAATTAATACGTCAGATCATTACTTAGTGGAGCAATTAATACGTCAGATCATTACTTAGTGGAGCAATTAATACGTCAGATCATTACTTAGTGTAGCAATTAATACGTCAGATCATTACTTAGTGGAGCAATTAATACGTCAGATCATTACTTAGTGTAGCAATTAATACGTCAGATCATTACTTAGTGTAGCAATTAATACGTCAGATCATTACTTAGTGTAGCAATTAAACGTCAGATCATTACTTAGTGTAGCAATTAATACGTCAGATCATTACTTAGTGTAGCAATTAATACGTCAGATCATTACTTAGTGTATCAATTAATACGTCAGATCATTACTTAGTGTAGCAATTAATACGTCAGATCATTACTTAGTGTAGCAATTAATACGTCAGATCATTACTTAGTGTAGCAATTAATACGTCAGATCATTACTTAGTGTATCAATTAATACGTCAGATCATTACTTAGTGTAGCAATTAATACGTCAGATCATTACTTAGTGTAGCAATTAATACGTCAGATCATTACTTAGTGTAGCAATTAATACGTCAGATCATTACTTAGTGTATCAATTAATACGTCAGATCATTACTTAGTGTAGCAATTAATACGTCAGATCATTACTTAGTGTAGCAATTAATACGTCAGATCATTACTTAGTGGAGCAATTAATACGTCAGATCATTACTTAGTGTAGCAATTAATACGTCAGATCATTACTTAGTGTAGCAATTAATACGTCAGATCATTACTTAGTGTAGCAATTAATACGTCAGATCATTACTTAGTGTAGCAATTAATACGTCAGATCATTACTTAGTGTAGCAATTAATACGTCAGATCATTACTTAGTGTAGCAATTAATACGTCAGATCATTACTTAGTGTAGCAATTAATACGTCAGATCATTACTTAGTGTAGCAATTAATACGTCAGATCATTACTTAGTGTAGCAATTAATACGTCAGATCATTACTAAACAAATTTCCTAGTGTTTGCATTTTGTGTATTTTTCTATCGACTTAAGTGGTACAGCTGGTAGCAAGGAGCGACATTACTCACGAAATCGTAATAACACGATTGTAAACAACTCAGGGTACGAGTGGGGTTTAAACTCATGACAAGTGTGGCATGCAAAGAGTATGTTACAATTTATTCGGCATATGTCACACTCCCATATAGGCTGCCTCCC